AGTTCTAGGCCAGCCTCTATATAGCAAGCCCTTGGTCAGTCCAGGCTACAAAATGAGATCCTGTCTCAATTTTTTTCCTTTATCACATTTTTTTATTCTCTCTCTCTCTCTCTCTCTCTCTCTCTCTCTCTCTGTGTGTGTGTGTGTGATACAAACTAAAGTTGGATTACTCCCTCTTTCTCAAAATGAACCTGAAATGACATTAAGCACTCTCTCCCAACTTTCCATTAGTCCTGATGAACATCACATCCTGACCTACTTCATTACAACTTGTATCTCTGAAATGAAGAACTATTGTTAGGGGGAACCTAGACTTCTTTTCTTAGTCACCTTTTAAAGAATTCTGTGATGTTTCAAAGACCATATTTAAAAATAATTCTGATTTTATTTAGTAAAAAACAGCAAAAAATAATATTTATTGAGATAATCTACTTATCAATAATTTTACCCTGTTAAAGAGTTCACTAGCTTTTGGTACACTCAGAGTTTGGAAGCCATTGCCACTATTTCTAAAACATTTCATTACCCTAGAATGTGCTGAAACCTTGACCCATTTCCAGCCCCTCTCTATTTCCCCCACCCTCATCCTTTGGCAAACATTAATTTTTGTTCTGTCTGTATGAACATTGCCAAATGAACATTTCATATAAATGGAACCATACAAAATGGGCTTTGTTATGGCCAATTTCTCTCACCAATTACATTTCTTTGAAATTAAAGACGTCTGTCTTCCTGTTCTCTATATTTTGTTCTATAATGTTTTTAAAAGCTCAGTAAGAGAATAAACAATGGCTTTATAATCTTAGGAACAAATATTTCAAGACAGAACAAATATTTAATATCAAGTTCATTTGTAACAATAAGTTGAAACAGGTAATCCCAACAATCTTCATAAATTCTAATTACCTGACAGACTTCCTGTGCTTAAACGCTACCATTTTATTACAGTTTGCTTACATTTTTACATTGTACTTATTTTGGATTTTTTGTTTGTTTGTTTGTTTGTTTGATACAGGGTCTCACTGGGACTTTCTTTGTGGACCAGACAGTCTTGAACATACAGAGGTCCACCTGCTTCTACCTTCTGAGTGCTGATATTAAAAGGACGTACCACCACAAACCAGCAAGTTTTTACATTTTTTTGTTTGTTTGTTTTCAAGACAGGGATTCTTTGTGTAGTCCTTAACTTGCTTTGTAGACCAGGGTGGCCCTGCACTCAGAGATCAGCCTGCTTCTGCCTCCCAAGTGCTGGATTAAAGGTGTGCTACACCATGTAGTGAGAATCCACGGGAGTCAGGGAGAGGTTGAAAAAATTTATTTAGATCTATAATAGGGCTGAGCACTCACTGATACAGAGCAGGTTAGACACCGCTGCAGTTGTTCTGCCCAGGGGAAAAGCACCAATAGCAAGCCGCAAGCTTCAGTCTTACCATTCAAGTCAGCAGGAGAGCGAGATAGCGAACACCTCCCTCTTTCCTTTAATAAGAGATCACAATCACAGACAAGAGGCCACGCCCTCCAGCCAGTCCCCAAATCTATTGGTGGACTGAATTCCCACAACACCAGGCTAAATTATTACATTATTATTATCTTTAAAATGAAGTTTTTAAGGCTGATTTAGTTAATCTAGGTACCATAAATCCATGTAACTAATCATTGAAAATTGCAACATACTATTAAAAAACTGACTGACGAGTACCTGGACTTTGTGTATGTGCATGTGTGTTTTTACTGTGGGTTCTGGGAATCAATCTATACACACACACATACATACATAAGTTATACACACACACACACACACATATATATTTAAACAAAGAGAAGATAATACAAATTGATGCATATTTTCTCCTAGTACCCCAGGAATAGTGGTTCCAGGCCCAAAATACACCTTCACTAGTTTAGTAACCACCTCTGAGAATAAAGTAACATACATTACCCTTCCCTCCACACGCTGTGTCAAGCTGCTCAACTTCAAAGTTGAATCTTCAACCTACTAGCTTGGACTTTTGGGACATGATATTGACCAGTTTCCTTCTATCAAAACAGACATACTAGCCCCATAGATTTGTTGTGAGGATGAAATGAGCTATTATACAGATAGCTATTATTATTATTATTATTATATTATTGTATATTATATTATATATTATTACATATTATTATATTATTAACATATTATTATTATACAGAACAGCTGCACACAAATAATCAAAAAACACTAGCCATGACTATATTCTTTTTTTTCTGCTGAAAACTCATATTCATCATAATTTGTAGCTGTATTTTTATTCACACAATTATTTTATCAATATACAGTTGTTGTGGGACAATGGTCTTTTATTCTGTCACTTTATTATTTTTAATAAAATGCTGATCGGCCAGTAGCCAGGCAGGAAGTATATGTGGGGTGACAGTGACCAGGAAGGAAGTAGAGGCATGGCAATGAGAATTCTGGGAAGAGGAAAGACTCAGTCTGCAGTTGTCACCCAGACACAGAGGATGCAAGATGTGACTGCCTCACCAAAAAAGGTACCAAGGCACATGGCTAACACAGACAAGAATAATGAGTTAATGTAAGATGTAAGAATTAATTAATAAGAAGCCTGAGCTACTAGGCCAACCAGTTTATGATTAATGTAGACCTCTGTGTGTTTATTTGGAACTAAACAGCTGTGGGACCTGGTGGGACAAAAATATCAGTCAACACACAGTTCACTCAACTGACTCAACAATAAAATGATGGATATTCTTCCAGCGCATCTTTAAAACCTAACATAAAACCTTGCATGTGTTTTCCAGGGGGGGGAAATGTTGGGTTGGGGAAATAGTTCAGTGGGTAAATTGCATACAAGCCCGAGGACCTGAGTTCAAATGCCCAGACCTCACAGAAAAGCCAGCTGCTCTATGTCTTTAATCCCAATGCTCTTATAGTGAGCTGAAGAACAGAGACAAGAGAACCTCCAATGCTCACAGGCTGGCATATGCAGCATCAAACAACAAAGAAAAGAGATGCAGCCTCAAAGTAGGTGGACTATGAGGACCATCAGCTAGGATATACCTGAACCTTCACAAGTGTGACGTGGCATCTGCATGTGTGAAAGTCTGAACACACACATACATCGCACACATGCTTATACATACACAAGTTTTAAAAATATTTGTTAAATGAATGATCTCTTGTTTAGAAGTGCTTTTTCTCTAAGATCATGTCAAATCTTTCCCTAAAGTAAATAACCAGTTCCAGGACAGACAAGGACTTATATGATAACCTGTTATATTTCTTTTCTTAAAAAAGTAGTTAGCGTATGAGAGTAGAACACCTAAATGTGCCTGAGACTCACAACAGTTTAACCTCACCCTCACCTGTGTGCAGTGCCTCTCAGAAGCTAAAGAACACAGCATCAGCTCATCTGCCGAGCCATCCTTTCTTTCACAGTATTTGAACTCCATCCCCTATGCGCCAAGCATTTTTCTAGATGCTCATCCTCTGTCTCTATATTTTTTGTATTCTAAAACAAAAGGAAGATACTATTAAAAACTATACCCTGAGGGCCAGAAAGTGCTGAGAGCGAGGGCATCACTGAGATTTACTGTTTGGCAAGCCTCTTTGTTAAGAGTGACATTTGAACAGGAAAAATAGCATATGTGTGCTGCAAATGTTCAGCAATGTGAAGGGTCTGCATAGCAGAATGCTCAGTCTATTTGCTCTCTATCACTATTTATTAATTGAGATGGACACTATCAAGAAATAAAGCTTGATCATAAAACCTATCAGGGAATCCTTTCCCATTCCAATGTGGCAATAGTCCACATTGTCCTGCTGCTTCTGACAATTATCTCAAAGATATCTCCTCCAAGATGTTTTTTCCTATCATTTCCAGTTTTTCACTCCATCAAACTGCCATGGCAATATAATCTTTTCTTCAAGAACCTCACCTACCAAAGCCAGGTGTGGTGATGCATGTCATGTAATCAGTCACTCAAGAGGCCGAGACAAGTTAGGAAATTAGCAGCCAGCGTTGATTACTACATGATGAGACCTTGTGAGGCAGATTTTCCTGAGCTAGCCAAATCCCAAACTAAGCTATTTGTTCTGTCAGGGTGACAACTAGATAACTGTGTACCAACTTTTGTGTCACCAGCACCTAGTAGAACGTGTGGTGCTTGGCAGGCATTTAAAAAGCATGACCCCACAAGTTAAACAACAACAAAATTGAACAATCCTAGCATAAGTCTTTTATAAACAACAGACACTAGAAGGCGCCCACAGAGCTGGGTCAAGGAAGTTAATGGGCCAGAAGACTTGCGAATAGAAAAGCTGCTCAAGGATGCTTTCATGAATATGCTGAGACGTGTCAACCTAAATAAACGTAGACGCAACACTGTCCAGAATCAATGTGAACGGATGTCCGTTAATCTTCCCAACTCTATGATACCCGACACCCGCCCCTCCCTCCCCTCTCTAAATCAGGAAGCTCTCAATTGGGGTATCCAGGTATGGTGGAGAAGTTCTCACCTTCCCATTCGTGGGCGGCTCCTGGATGTAGATGTTACTCATCTTGGTCAGGGCTCAGGACTCTGCTCCTTAGTGGGGTCGCGAGAGGATGGCGGTGTCCACCTGTTAGAAGACAATTCTTTAACGTGAGTACTTGGGGGAAAACTTTACTCGGTCAGAGTCGGGCAAGACAGCCGTACCAAACACTAGCTAGTCCCCAAACTAGCCCCTCATGGGCGCCGCCATGTTGCTCCCGGACTCGAACACCGCTAACTCCGGAGGGGGAAACTCCGTGTCCTTCGGGTAACTAAAAAAGATTATAAAACATCTGCAACTTTAATTTGTCACTTTATCTGTAATAATAGTTAAAGGACAAACCCTTAAATGCCACTACTGCGTCCACACCAAGTGTTCTCAGCTAGCACTCACCTCCCGAAGTCGGCCGAAATGGTTCCGACCACGTGTGCTCCGCGGTAGGACTCCCCTGGAAATTGATTCCGCGGCGCCTTAGTTCCGCGAACCCCGGGAGCGCATCTGGCCTTCCCCTGCCGTGTGCTATAGTTGTGGGGACCGGGTGGGAGAGATCTCTCCGATAGTGCGTTATCCTCGCAACGGACCTGACCCTAGCGCGATCTCGAAAGCTCAGGACTCCGCTCAGCTGCCTCATGGCAGTCCCAGGTGAAGATCAACCGCAGGGTCCTCTTACAGAGGAATAGGGCGAGCAGTGGAGTCCAGGGAGCGGGGCGGCGGGGAGTCCTCGGGTATTCAGACGAAGGCCTGAAAATGTACAGAGTTGGTTGGTTTACGTGAAAAAAAAGTTTACACTACAAGTCCAAAGGGAGCGAGGAAAGAGGGAGAGGTCGTCTCGATCGCTCCTAGTCAAGCCCGAACTGCCCAGGCTTACAAGGAAAGTGTGTTGTAGGAGGAAGAGAAGACTTGGGAGCAATAAACTCTAGGCCTAAGAGGACAAGTTACCCAGAAGACTATCAGGAACTTTCACAGGGCTTCAAAATAAAATTCGAAATGTGAACATTTGGCGAACCCAGGGCGCCACACACATTATACTTAAAGACACCAAGTCCAGAAGCGCACCTGGGATTTGTTTGGCTCTTCCTGTCTGTAGTTACAGTGTGGCTGTAGGCCGGTTTGCTGTGCCCTTCAGGGCCTCAGTTTCCCTATCTGTAAAAGAAGGAGCCTTGTTGAATTATATCTGATTCTTTCTAGGTTTCAATTTTGTCTTCAGAGATTTCTAACCTCAAAACGGCATGCTCCGGGGATGTTTTTGTCTGCTACTCCAGCTTACTGGAGAGTTCAGGAGCTGCAAAAACTTCCCAAGCCGCCTTTGTCAAGATGTGTCTGTCTCGGCAGACTCCTGTTGGCAGGTGTTTTAAAGAGATATTCCCGCCGCGAATTTTGGAGATTCACAATGCACAGTACTGTAGAAAAGACCCTGAAAATGTTTGTAAAGCCCCGACTTTGCTTAAAACTGTGCTTCCTGCGGCTGTTTGATCTCTGCCTTTGTTCTTGGCAGCCTTTTCCAAACCTTATTTCAGAGATGGGTTGGGGTGGAGGTAGGGTCCGGTGGCTGCTTTCCTAACTTCCGCAGTTTGCAAAGGAGCCCGTCTGTAGCTGTGAGAAATGACTGTCCACTCTTCATGGTGTGGTCGGGAGCACGAGAGCCACCCTTGCTCTCATGAACACAGCAGGGAAAAGGGAGGAATTTACAGAAAGTAGAACTACTGCTGTGGCAAGCAAAATAGTGTGGACACCTAGCAGGATGCAGAGTACAAAAGGTTTAGGTACCAGATGAGACCTAAGATGTGAGAGGGTGGGGAGCCTGCAGGGAGAGGGACTGGATATGAAGAGGAAGAAAGAAGAGGAAATGAAAGGTGCCTGTTGTGGCTAACCTTCAGTGTGCTGTGAAAGAAAAGAGAAATTACCTAAAGCAATAATCACAGTATTGAACATTTACTATGTAACCCATGCATCCGATACTATGTCAAACATTGTGGTTTTTGCTCTTCCTTGAATAACAGCTGCTCCGAGATAGCTGTTCATATTCCCACTTCACAGGCTGAGGGACGTAGAAATCAGGTAACTTGGCGATTACAAGGTTATCCTAGCTCTTCTCCACCATGTGGAGGTGCATTTCCTAACCTATCAGTGGCACAATAAAGAAATACCCTGTAATTGAAGAACATTAAGCAAGAACAAAGCGTTTGGGTGTTGATAGACAATAAGAAACTGCTTTAGGGTGTTTTTTTTTTTAAGTTACATTTTAAGATGCAGTGACCTAGAGGAGAGTTTGCTAATTTGGAGGCACAGTGGATAGTTTGGGGTGTTTCTGGTGAGTTATGTATGCTATGACACCTGTTGAGGCTGTGGTCTCATTAGAGAAGCAGCTAAATTGGAGGTGTGTCTTTGGTGGTCTAATCGCCAAGAATTGAGGACTGCTTTGTTGTAGTTGGGAAAAGACATTCACCTGGCTCCTGACGTGAGATGATTGGAGAGACCTCATAACTGGGAAGACATCTCCCAAGAGCAGAGTCTAGGGAGGTGGTGATGAGTTCAGTTTGGAGCGTGCGTTGAGGTTAGTTTCCAAATGGAAATAGCTAATCGCATAGGAATACGTAGATCTTAGGCAAGAAGTTAGAGTTGAGAACAACGCATCATAGGAATTAAGGGACAGAGCCTGAATGAGATTGTATGGCCAGGGTGTGTAATGTGTGAGGAGGAGCTCTGACTGGATCCTGGGAATGATGGCATATAAGGGGACATTAGCGAGAGACAAGTCTGAACAGTAGCTTGCTGGGGCATTTTGAGAGGTTCTGGTGATCTCTGCATCACACACCTGCACCCGGAGCTGGCCCGCTGTCACTGTTTATTATTTGATGAGGCGTTCTCAGCGCCCGTGTGGTCTGAGCACACCAGGAGACACGCTGTAAAACTTTTGTGATGAAACTGTGCAACTTAAAGAAAAGGGACAAAAGCGACTTTTCTTCTCGCTTTGTTTGAGATGTTCTTAAACTTGAGACCAGTGTGAAAAATATGTTAACCTTTCAGTTCAAAATAATGCTGCAAAGCGTAATAATAAATTGTGCCATTAAACTAGATGGAACGACTTACATAAACTGCTTAAAGCTGCTCAGAATCAAGATAATAGGCATGACAGGTGGCGTGGACGTACAATGCAACCCGCTTTAGAAAATACAGACACAGAAGGTGTTAAGATAATTTCTTGGATGATCGATCCAGACGCTGCATGGGAGGAAAATAGAGCTCCATTGAGGTGATCATCAAGGAGGACAAGTATTGTGTCATGCTCCTTTATGTTAGGTGCGATGGATTCAGCTTGGGGTGATTCTGTTCCTGGTTATTATAAGGTGTAACTATAGAGTAATGAGGCTGCTTTTCAGAAACCACCAGCCTTGTCTGTTTCAGCGGTCACGTGATCCCGCTGCCGCTCCTCAGCATTGTATGCTAGCTTAAACCATTATGTGGGTAACAATAAGAGACTGAAGACCTTAGGAAAATCTGAGACGCTTAGTTAGTTCACACAGAGCACTGAACATAGGATTCAGCGAAGTTTACTTTCTTCAGAGCATTTCTTTGCTCGTTCACAGTTGATCAGATTAGCTGTCGTTGAAGTGGTGTTGGTGAGTCGCTGTTCTCCATCAAGTGTCGGCCCAGGCACAAGTGGCAGTGTGTGTTACTGATAGGGATTGTGTCTCTCAGGGAAGTCTGTCCCCAGGACAGAGGACGACAGTGCCACGTTGACATTTCCATCTTGCCCCCCTTCAGCATATTGCTGAAGCATCTACGTAATCACAGACATGTGAAACCACACTCCAGCCTGTTTCCCTCATTCCTCAGCCGTGCTCTAGGTAACTTCTCTCTCTAACATGGCTGCTGAAATAATATTCATAAAATCATGTCTGATTCTATCATTCCTGGGAGGCAATTTTGTAATGTTCTTGAAGTCACTTAACCTTCCATAGATTGTTTTATTGTCTCCATAACGAAGGGGGGAATTTCTTCAGCTTCTAAACTATTAAACCTCCCTCCTCAACAAGAACGAAGTGTATAGCTCTGAGCATGACCAATGCTTTTCTGCCTTTTTCTGCCTTTCTTATGTATGCATCAGTGATGGAGAAAACCTGACTCGACTCTTTTCTGATCTCTCGCGTGTTTTTCTTTCTGTGCCATGTGCCTGTGTTACTGTTATCCCTTAGTTATGTATTCATTCCAGCCTCGGGTTTTCAGCTGACAGTCTTGCCTGTCACTTTTTCAGTGCTTATTAGCAAACTAATATGTTGTTTTTCATGTTGCCCAGCGCAGTCTGTCATGAATCACAACTATGGTACACGGATATGATGCGGCAGGAGAGAGACCTTGGTGGGTGGGAGCCCATGTTGGGTGAGAGACCGACAGGCCAGGCAGACACTGCGGGTGAGAGATAGACACACAGGAGAACAGGGCCTATGTGGGAAATTTTGTTAAAAGAAAAGGGGGGAGAGGAAGGGAGAGACCAGCCTCTGGGGACAGGAACAGAGGAAGAGAAGAGAGAGAGATAACAGAGAGAAAAGGGAAGAAGAGGTAGAAATAGGCGGAGTTTTGCCTGTTAAATGGACAGGGTATGCTTGTCTTGCACACAGGAGCACACTGCAAGGTCCCCAACGGGCAGGGCTGGGTGTGCCAGGATGCTAATGTACACTGCCCTAAGTAACCTAGTATGGTGTAGCTTCTTGTAGTGAGGGACTTTATTCGTTTTGATGACTTGTGTAATACCAGTTCAGAGTTATACACCCATATACAGGATTTATGGCTCATTTACGACAGGCACAATCCAGTGCTGGTAGTCTTGATTATTTCATTAGACCACAGATTAAACTTATTGTCCAGTGACAATAACTTTTGGTTATATACCCAAGGCTTATGGGTACCTGGGCTCCCCAGTTAAGATCTCACCAATTTGGGCAGAGTGAAGAGATAAGTGAGGAATCTTTGGGTTGGGAAAGACCACAGGCTTCTTGTTCTTATCTTAGTTGGAGACAATTGCAATATATTTTTGAAGGAGACTTTGGTGATTACTCTAAACTCTCCCTGTAACTTCTTGCTAAATGTAGCTCAGATCTGCTTGAAACTCACAATACAGCAGGCTCATCTCAAGCTAAAGGCAAACCCCTCTGTGGTCTCTGATTACAGGCAGTGTCAATATATCCAACTTAACTTTCCTTCATCCGTTATTTTGTGAAGCAAATAGAAGGAAGAATCTTATGCTTTTACTTAAGTTAGCTATTTCATATCATTAGTTGAAGGGGTTCTAGCTGGGTTTTCACCCCTCCCTTTGGGATCAAATGATTAAAGAGACATAAACAATAGGACATCTGCTCTTTCAAAGAATTCCATCAAGAATTTCATTTAGCTTACTGTTTAAATTCTTGAAAGATTTCTAATTTCTGTTATTTTTTTCTGTTTTAGTCTCCTTGTTCCATGTAAAATCTCAAAGGAGAGTATATCTACAACTATTAATATAAACCAATAGAAAGTATAAACACGTGTTTTATTTTTATAGTCAATTTTCACAAGACAATTATATTTTATACAGACATCATCATCCCTATATTAAATATCCCTTCTATCTGAGGTTAAAAAGCACACACCCACACAATAAATTA